AGTGACGGCCTCCAACCTAACAGCGATGGCCTCCAACCTAAGCGATGGCCTCCAAGCTAGTAGCGACGGCCTCCAAGCTAATAGCGATGGCCTCCATGACAACCTAATAGCGACGGCCTCAAACCTAATTGCCATGGCCTCCAATCTAATAGCGATGACCTCCAACCTAATAGCGATGGCCTCCAACCTAATAGCGACGGCGTCCAACCTAATAGCGACGGCCTGGCCTCCAACCTAATAGCGATGGCCTCCAACCTAATGTTGACCTCTGATTAAGAAATGTACTGTCAAATTTCGATATTCTTAGGAAACCATATATAAAGTTAACCCCAGGTTCCAAGAAAGGATTAATACAATGAAATGTCTCCTTACTAAAACAAATATTGAAATAAAGGTGAAGTAGTATTCAAATTGGAAATGAATTGGAATTTATTTTAAATTCAATTGAACTGGAATTGAATTTGAATTGAGTTGGCTTCAGCAAAATCCGTTAGCTTTAGGGTAAACTTTATTTAGGGTTTGGTGGCTTCAGAAAAATCAAGTAGCTTTATTTAGGGTTTTCTGACTTCATTGCGAGAACCCTTTCCAGAATGGTTTTGATCAATTTTCAAGTGTTTTTTAATAAGTGATTTATACGAATTTGTATCACAAGGTTTTGAGGTTTGGTGAACAATTCAAATTATTTAGACTTGAATTGGAATTGAACTTGAATTTGCACTAATTGAATTGCAATTAATTGAATGAGGACTGTATTTGAATGAACAAAATTCTTTAGCTCTATTTAGGGTAAACTTTATTTAGGATTTGGTGGCTTCAGGAAAATTCCTTAGCTTTATTTAGGGTTTGGTGGCTTCAGAAAAAATCCATTAGCTTTATTTAGGGTAAACTTTATTTAGGGTGTGTAAAATAGTTTACTGTATTAAACATATAATATTTGTTGTTTTTAATAAATAATTGGTTTAACACAACATACTTTAAACAACATATTATTCAAAAAATAAAACTAAACAAAACAAATTAAAACCAATAATGATAGCAGAAACAACTAAAAATAATCAATAAACATAAATAAAAGAACCGAATTAAACATAAATAAAGAAAAATGAACAATAAACAGTAGGAAAATAGAATTGAACAAATAGAACTTTTAAAAAGAACTATAATTTAATTAAACAACAAATCCAAATATAACAACAGAATTTAAAACAAATAAACATATAAGACATGCTAACTTTTAAAAACCAAAAAAAATAAGAAATGCTAACTTTATTTTGGTTCCCTTTATTAATCAGGGTGCAGATCGGCTAACTTTATTCCGGGTCCCTTTATTAATCATAGGTCAACAACATTAATAGCGATGGCCTCCAAGCTAATAGCGACGGCCTCCAACCTAATAGGGAAGGCCTCCAAGCCAATAGCGACGGCCTCCAAGCTCATAGCGATGACCTCCAAGCTAAGAGCGATGGCCTCCAACCTAATAGGGACATACAGGGACGGCCTCCAACCTAATAGCGATGGCCTCCAAGCTAATAGCGATGGCCTCCAACCTAATAGCGATGGCCTCCAACCCAATAGCGATGACCTCCAAGCAAATAGCGATGGCCATGACCTCCAACCTGATAGCGACGGCCGCCAACCTAATAGCGATGGCCTCCAACCTAAATTAGCGATGGCCTCCAACCTAATAGCGATGGCCTCCAACCTAATAGCGACGGCCTTTAAGCTAATAGCGATGGCCTCCAAGCTAATAGCGATGACCCCCAACCGAAAAGCGACGGCCTCCAACCTAATAGCGATGGCCTCCAAGCTAATAGCGATGGCCTCCAACCCAATAGCCACGGCCTCCAACCCAAAAGCGACGGCCTCGAACCTAATTGCGATGGGCTCCAAGCTAATAGCGACGGCTTCCAACCTATTAGCGATGACCTTAAGCCTAATGGGCCTAATTGCGATGGCCTCCAACCTAGTAGCGATGGCCTCCAACCTAATAGCGGCGGCCTCCAAGCTATTAGCGATGGCCTCCAATAGCGATGGCCTCCAACCTAATAGCGATGGCCTCCAATCTAATAGCGATGACCTCCAACCTAATTGCGATGGCCTCCAACCTAATAGCGTTGGCCTCCAACCTAATAGCGGCGGCCTCCAACCTAATAGCGACGGCCTCCAACCTAATAGCGATGGCCTCCAATTTAATAGCGACGGCCTCCAAGCTAATCCCGATGGCCTCCAAGCTAATAGCGACGGCCTCCAAGCTAATAGCGACGGCCTCCAACCCCAATAGGGATGACCTCCAACCTAATAGGGATGACCTCCAACCTACTGTCATGAATTCGTCAAGGCCAACTTTTTGGATCTCATTCGTATGCATCACACGAGTAGGTACAGCGAATATGTCAGTGTATTTGCCCCCTCTCAGACTCTACACAAAAACACATGTGTATATGTATATATATTTAAAGGGACAGACAGGGATGCTGACCCGCTCAGGAAGAGAATAGACACATACAGTACAAGAAGAGACCCGCTTGAGACCGAATTATCGGGGTTCGTAGGTTCATCTTGCTCTCCTGCCGCACATTCTGCTGTTATGGTTGTTTGTTGCTGTCACTACTATGGTCCCTGGGGGTAACCCAACATTGACAAGCATGCCAAATGTAGCTTCACCAAAGCCATGTCGTGATGTGGTTTATTGCTGGTCATTACAAGTTGTGGAAGACTATGGACATATTATGAAATATTTGCTTAGGATCATTATATAACAAGGGTGTCATTGCTAGTCAGGAAGACTGCTCGTCAGAGGCTTTGGAACTTCAAACGCTTCGAGCTGCACAGTTCCGAGAGCTGCAGCGGTTGGCCAGTGGCGAAGCAGGGCCCTTCAGGCCTTGCGACATTGCGACGCCTTGCGACATTTCATCTTGCTCTTACAATGAAAGGGGGGCGGGGAAACTGGGTGAATTGGAAGGCTTAAGAAAGCTTTTTACTTGGTGCAGAGGAATTGTTGGCTTGCAAGCGTATTGCATTCCTTGATCGCAGGGCAGAAGAGATTCGAAAGAGCCTGGAAGCGGCAAAGATTAGCCCTGACCGCGTTCAGAAATATCTTGAGGATATGGTGGCTTGGCAACGTCTTGGGTTTGAAGCAGTGTCATGATTTTCGGCGATACTCTGAAGGAAGCAGACTTTTCAGCTCGGTATCAGAAATAATATTTCCAATACAGGCCGACTTTTGTTTTTCCACTATATAAGTCTGAACCCAACATGTTGAGCTTCAAGCCCTGAGCCCTGGGTTTACCGAGGAATGGAAGTTCACGGACTCTGGTGTACAGCGAAGGATAGACTTGAGACATTTGGAACGGTGGAAACATGACCAGGAGAGGGCTTGCTTTGCCAAAACTTGCAGTGCATGCTGCTTCAAGTCCATTACTTCTTCATGTGCCAGTCCTAGGGTGTTCCCTACCCTGCATATCAATTCATTTTCACAGTGTTTGCTGCAAGATGATGGGACCGTGCCGCAGGCAGCCGAGCTACTGACCAAGCGTCTTTCATATGGCTTGGCAGTCGTAGTCGTTGTACTGGGTGGCTATGCTGCAGCTGTGTGGCAGAAGTGAAGACAGAAAGGATGCCAAAGTGCCTCCAATGCCACGATGTGTAGGTTTCCAAAGTGTGAGATTTGCCTGGTACATAGCATCCCAGCATGCTAGGATTTGCAGAGCACTGGTGTGCTGCGATTTGGAGACGAGAAGAGAAAACGGCCGCTGGAACGGTGTTGTTTCGAGAGTTTTGCTTTGCATCAAGCTTCTAAGGCCAAAGCTTCTGCCCCAGAACTGCGAGAGCCAGCAAGCTTGCGTTCCTTACTTGGAGGTGCATGATGCGTAGATGTCGTAATTCTCAACGTGCCATGTTGATTAACAAACACGGTTGTGGCCTGTTCGCGAGCTGTTTCCATCAGAGATTGGAGGCCCTTTTGGCGTACCCTGTCTTCCTACGGGCAGCGCCATGTTTGGAGGCTAAGATACCGGAGGGATGAGCCACCTTAGAGCGTTAGTGCTTTCAACATTTATGCATACATTACTTATGACATCTTATGACTATTGTAGCTTGTTACAATAGGCTGCGCATTGCAATGCCCTACCCTCCACGCTACGCTGTGTGATTTGGGAAAATTTAAGAGTGTGTACCACACGGAACACCACTTTGGCATTCCAAAACTTTGCCGGCTTTTGCAACCCCATGTGGGGCAGGTTTTGTCCAAACATCTCGCCATGAGCTCTGCACAACAATTTGGCCTCATGTTGTACTCTTAGCCACACAAAGTTCAATTTCATTTATGTATTACGCACTCAAGAGTGAGGGGCAGGGATCACGCGGTGTGTGTACAGTATATAACAGCAGCATATATATATGTCCATATATCTGGAGTTTGATTCACAATGATTTGCACCAATTGATGTTGCAGCTGATTTGTTGTGCACAGGATTCACCGTGGCCACTTACAAACGAGGAGGCCTGAGGATTTCCGGAAGTTGCCAAACTGCGGCGTTCTTATGATTTCTTTGCTACCCTATTAGCGATCCATCAGGAGAACCAAGAACGCTTTTAGACACAGGTTGTGTTTCATGCTTGTTCTTTCTTTACACTCTTCAGACCTTCCATGCTTTGTTCCTGCCCTTCTTTCTTCCTCAACTAGAAACAATAATGCTTCTTTGCAGCAAACAAAGAGCACGTTTCGAAACACAATAGGCAAGAACGCTACTAGGGGCTCCTGGCCTTACTACTAGGAATAAGAACGCTACTAGGGGCTGGTTTCGGCCTTGTGCAGGTTCATGAGAATGTAATTCGCTGGACCCGCTGGCTCTGGATCGGTGGCGCCAAGTGAGAAGCTTGTGAGACACAGAGCCACGTGATTGTCGGTTTTGGGCAGACCCAGGTCCCAGGTTACTATTGCTTGCCATGCCAGTGAGGACCCCTCCTCCTCGCTGGCGTGGGCCTTCAGCGGACAAGCAGAGCCGCCATGCTTCCTGAACACCATCATTGCAAGTCGTAACACCGGCACTGCACTTTCTCTCTGGGTGGGGGATGCAGAACTTGGTCAGGCGCATACGCTCTGCTTTGAGCTTTGAGGCCTTCCGTGCTTATATAACAGAACGGAATCCCCCATGATTGGTCCTCTATAAAATGAGCATCTGTTTCCACTATGAAATGGGATAAGGAGGTTCACTTTATATATAGAAATGATCCGTTCCGATAACGGACATAAGAGGAGGCAACATCATTTCATAGAGTAGAGGGGGGATTGGTGGAAAGGACCATGACAGAGAGAGGCAATGCATTTTAAGAAAGAGACACGTGTCGGCAGATGAATGCCTCTCATTCAGGAGCAAATCCATTTTATAGAGAACATATGGTTTTACACAGATGTCTTAGACAAAATGCTCAAAACAGTTGCCTGCTTTGAGTGATATTGTTTCGCTGGCTCGAAGACGCAAGCCTGGACAAATCAGACTGGAGAACATTTTGTTATATTTTGTTAAGAAAAAACACCAACAATAAAACACAAAAAAAACATATGGATGGTTCTAAGAAGAAGACTGCAGGAGCGACGAACAAAAAGGATAGAGATAAAACATGAAAAGTGAAGCATACGCTGACCAAACCTGCTGTGGCAAAGTCATTTTATAGAAGTCAGCTGCTTCAAATGATATGAGGATATCAACTCAAGGTCAACCCATTTTATAGATCCCAGGCTTGGCCTCTAACCTCTTTGTCGTGGATGGGCCTGGACATGGCTACCCATTTTATAGAAAGGTTGGTTCTTCATTTTATAGAGAAATATGATGGTCATATAATTTTATAGACGGTATTCTCTATAAGATGGAGTTCTGGCAGGATGTTGCCCCAGTCAAGGGGGATAGAACGGACAGTATTTGTGTCAGGAAATTAACATCTTTTAAACTGCGATTGTTTTTGTACAGTTCTTTTTGGTATTCGGAGCAGGTCATTCTTAACCCTTCTCCTTGGCTACATGATCAGCTTGCTAACAGGGCTTTCTCCGAGCTCTGGGTAGGGCAAGACATTGAGTTGCCCGATGCCGGGCAAAAGCAACATGGGCTCGGGCTCAAGTATCCTTACTGCTAGCTAGAACGCTGGAGACTCACAGCTCCTTGCTCTCAGGCTGCAGGGGCCTTTGCTGCTCCACGTCGAGGAGCGCCAGGTGCCCTTGTGTTACCTCATTTGTAGCAGCGTAGGCCAAAATGCAAACAGAGAACTTCTCAACAAGAGATACCCTTTGGAACAGCCGTATGTTTCAACCCTTTCAAGTAATCTCTTTGACTGTGGAATGACGAGTCCCAGCCATCGTGTGTGTTACAGTATCTCTTTTTGTGGCACTGAGACAGGCACCAACACACAAGACACAGATATGGCCTTCCAAACAAGACATTTGCATGTCACCTATTGAAGATTGAAGCCAATCGTTGAACGTAAATGTTTGACTCTCCTGAACCAGGCGACAGAACTGCAGCCTCAGCTCTGTTGAACAAGGTGGCCAGGCCGGATATCTTCCACTAATTCATGCAACAGGACTCAATCAAGACCAATATGGTCGAGCAGCTACTGTAGCGGTCGCCAACTTGCGTGCAATGCACTTATTGCACTTGCAACTCCAGTTTTTGGTCCGCCCAATTTGGGGGAATAAACGCTGATGAAGATTCCAGTTCCTGGGAGATACAGTCTTATGAACCGCGGCAATGGCGTTGGCCAGCGGCCAAGTTAGTTTACACATATACAATCATATACACGTGAGATGCCCTGACAGGACTAATTACACATGTATCCGCCATAGCTGGAATTGGTGCAAAAGGGTGCCCTATAGATGCAGGTGTATTGGTATTGACCAACCCCATGCCCCATGCAATGCTCCACCAGTAACAAGAGGTCTCGTTGGAGCAACGTTTACTGTAACTGCTTTATTGCCTTGACTAGACTGCCCCTTTATTCAATCCGAATCCCACAAACTAGAGCTTAAAAGAGATTTGCATTCTATGGTGGCTTCCAAGACCCGCAAAAGCATACCAGGCCTACCTCTAGGCATACCACTAGCATGCCACCAAGCATAACTCAGTAGGTTGTTGTTTGTTTTAACAAACCGGGAACCCGGTCAAAGAACGCCCGCGAAGTCCCAGGTCCTGGGACCCTTCGCAAACACTCAGCTCTAAACTGAGGGGAAACGAAACGAAGCACAGGCGCTTCCGCAGTTGTTTGCGGTCGCAGGGTTTTTCACTTTAAACAATTTGCATGAATTAGCTTAAGGTCAATCCGTTGAGATCCTCGAAAGTACTAATTACTTACGACAATGGCAGGTGGAAACCGCAGAACTTTTCCAAGGCTTTCGGAAGATGTCTGTGCGGCAGCAGCATTTTGTTGGGCTCTTGGCATGGAATGCATTTTCTGGCTTCGTTTGCAATGCGTTCCCATGAATGTCTTGTATTCAGTTCTATTGGCCATTATTGAAGGGTCTCAACAAGCTTCCATAGGTTGGAGCATGCTGGCCCAACCCGCAAAACTATCACAGCTTTATGTAGGTGCATTGCTAAGTCAAGTTTTTTTGGTTCCATTTCTCCCACAAGCGTTTCGATTGTGGCTCATACTCCGATCCAAGACATTTCCAGACATCGCAGAGAGCCTTGGCGAGAGCCTCCAAGTCCTTCACAAACCCACCAAACCTCTGTGCCCAGGAGACAATCTTCGGTGACTTGGGGCGGACGTGGAGGGTGGCTTTCCTCAAATGAGTGGAAAGTGAGGTTTTCTCATTGATTCATTCGCCATTTGCAGTCTAGAAGATGGGAGTCATCCACAATGTCAACTAAACTGGCCAACGCAGTAAGACTGTTGGAGGCCATCAGATCAGCTGAACACACTCAAACCTTGGCCATTCTCCTGATTTTGCACATTGGATGCAATGATGCCACTGTTTCCCTTCAATCTCATGAATCTACACAATCTTCATCCTTAACTCGCCCAGAGTGCTCTATACTCAGACATCTGAGACCATGATACTTTGCAGTAGAGACTGCTCTGTCCATTGTTGGCATAATTAGTGTCCACAAACTTTTTGTACACCGTTTACACCGTCTACTGTACACCGTTTACACCGCTTACACCGCTATTACACTGTCCACCCGTCTAAGTCGTTGACACCGTTTACACCGTCTACACCGCTACACAGTTTACACCGTTGAAACCCTGACCAGCGTACTTGGTGTAAACAGCGTAAACAGCGTAACAGCGTAACCAGCATAAACAGCATAAACAGCGTATAAACAGCCAGCGTAAACAGGATAATCAATGAACAAGCATATACAGCGTAAACAGGGTAAACAGCGCAACTAGCGTAAACAGTGTAATTAAACAGCTATATCAGAGTTAACAGCGTAGTAACCAGCGTAAACAGCGTAACCAGCATATACAGCGTAACCAGCGTAAACAGGGTAAACAGTGTAACCAGCGTATGCAGCGTAGTAACCAGCGTGACCAGCGTAAACAGCATAACCAACGCAACCAAGCGTAGAATCACTCGCGGACACGCTTTGCCACGTCGCTGGACTTGTCAATCACCATCCTAACTGCAGATCGGAGCTCGCGGCCCCCTGGGTGTGCATACGAAGGCGGGTGAGCGCGGCTTGTTTGTCTGGGTCTATACTATTGATGACCGTGGAAGAATATTGCGGTGTGTTGTTTTCAACATCAGGCAACACTAGAGTCTACCCTTATCATCGATGACTTGCCTCGGTGAACCTTCAAGAAACCTTTCTTTAATTGGGCTTCAGAGTCGAGAGCGAAGGTTACCAAGCTGGCCTCCCACAGGCTCACGCGGATGACTTCAAGGGCCCTCGAAGTTGGCTGCGCTTCTATGTGCGCAGCCTCATTCTTCATGGGCTTTTGTTTGTTGCACTGGGCTAGGTCAAAGTACTGATTATACATTGCAAGGAACGTGCCCAGAGTCTGAGTCCATGAAGCTTTCGTTCAATGTCTTCCTGGCATCGTGTTTTTGGTACAGTAAGTTAGTTCACCCTTTTTTTGACTGTTTGCATCGGTGGGCTTGCAGGACACATGAGATGCATGCTACTCACCAGATAAACTCAAGGCTGCAGGTTACCGGGTTTCCCTTGAATATTTTAATACCAATGTCCTACTATTTGTTTCCAAAAACACTTGAATTGCACACATTCAACATCTCAAGGCATTTGGTGATTGGGTGTCTCTATGATGGTTGTTTATGACAGTGTTATTCTTCTATGAATTAACACGCATTGGTGAAAGTGTCTTGCATTTGACTCATTGACAGATCTATGACCTGCCGGTAAGTGCGCATCGAGAAGCACTTTCGCAGTTGCATGGACGCATTCGGGAGGCAGAGATTCAATCACTTTGGGCCGCATAGAGATCCGATCTTTCTGAGTCATTTGAGAGGCCTTGGCAGAAGAGTTTGTTCTAAGAGCTGTACTCTAGCACAGCTGATTTGAGTGCTTGCACAACGTAAAACAAACATTACAACCAACTTTGCCTTGTTAGTTGATCCCGTGAAGTCGGTTAGCATCTGCCAGACCTGATCTGTCCAGGCAGCTCGGACTCCTGCGATCTGTGACTTTGGAGTGTCACCGTGCGTGGAAATGCGAGAGCTCGGAGGCCCAGGATCGGAGTCTCAGTCCGGCGCAGCCGCAACCGCATGGCCACCCTCAAAAAGGATTCTCCTTTCGAACCAAACGGGGGCAACAATTCAATGAAACGTGTTTTGAGGGGTGGTGCTTTCAGTGGCTATCGCCCTTATGCCGCAGAGGCCAGGCAGAGGTTTGCAGCGGTTTGCAGAGCGCGAACCACAAAACCTTGCTTGTCGCCAATTTCAATACTCTTAGGGTAACGGCCAGCAAGCCTGCAAGCAATTTAATGCTGTTATTTGTATACGTGTTCAAGGGCGACGAGTTTCAAGACTTGCCAGGCTACTTTCTTGGCAAAGCTCCTCTCAGGGCCAGATGAAGTCATCGTGGACGATCCAAACAAGGCTGGACCCGGGCTTCTCATTGTGAGGCATCCGAGCGTTGGCCCAAGGCGCCCCACACAGCAAGATCCGATGAGGTCAATGCACCATGAGGGTTCTTCGTTGTTGGCGCTGTGACGGCATATTATATGAGCAACTGACAAAACTTCCGTACATGTACTTTAGTCATGAGCCGCCTTAAGTGAGGGCCTTGCAACAGCCAGGGGCCAACCCTATACCGATACCCTTTCTTGATTAAACGATATTAACCGTACTTTACTGCCTGCATTCCAAAAAACTCAAAACCGATAGGGGCCAACCTAAAAAACATTGGTTTCCTTTGTATATATATATAGATATCTTAAGAATTTGCATCGCTGTGAGGCCTCATATTTTATTGTGCCCTTTTTGTCATCAACCTGGTTTGGCGCTTGGTGAATGAAGCAAATCCGCAACATGATTGATGGTGCCCGTCATCCGACTCCTGGATGTTCGGCCAAGGTGCTTTATTGGAGCTCCCAAGACCTGGGTCGGGGTGTCTCAGAAACCTACTTGGCCTGTTGCTCATTTTGAAGCATTGGCTGGGTAGCTTGACAGATGTTGACACCCTGGCATTGCTTCGGTTTTGCTGTTTGCTCAGTAAGTTGCAGCTTTTGGCCCAAAACAAATTGGTGTGCGCTGAGCAGCAGATGGTCAACTGCTGAGACTCTGTTTTGTCATGTAAAACGTGATATAGTACGGCCAGGAGCTACTAGTAGCGTTCTTGCTCCTAGTAGCGTCCTTGGTCCTAGTAGTAAGGCCAGGAGCCCCTAGTAGCTTCTTGTTAGTGCTTGTAGTTGGATGACCCAACAAACGGCGTGGCTTTTGCTAGGCACTTGCTTTGGGAATCAATGTGAGAGTGCCTTTGGTAGCAGCCCAAGCAATCAGTGATTGTCATTTTCATGCTGAGTTTTTTCAATAATGGTCGATCTGTTGTACAGACCCTGCAGATTCCTTATTGCTAGCCCACGGTATGGTGGTTCAGCAGAACACACACGTTCATCAAAAGGTAGGACGCAACTCGTTAGAAGCATTTCAAGCATTATTCTGTTCAATACTGTAGAGGCCAGGCCAGTTCATTCTCCTTGCTTGTGGGCAAGAGAGCAGTTATTGTATTAAATTGCAATTGCCTTGTTCACGGCAACTTCGTGGGACATTCATCACTGAAGCCCAGCACAAGCTGCAACCTTCGTCCTTTCCCATGTCGTGCCCCTAGGACTGATACAAATGATGGCCTCCAACCTAGCAGCGATCTTTTGTACGGTGCACACACTTAAGATGAGTGCTCGACAGAGCTGCGCCTCAGAGATGCGCGGTGAGCATTAGCACTTTATGTTACTGCGTTAGCCAATGAATACTTAGCCCTTGACTTGAAAGAACCGCAAGAACGCGAACAGAATGTTTCAACAAGCTTGAAATGAATCGAATTGATTAAACAGTTCAAGCAGGTACGTGGATTCTGCGTCCAGAATCCATATCAGTGACTCGTAACAGCCTCTTCGTTGGACGTCTGTACAGGAAAACAGTGGCATGGACTAGAATAGAATAGTGAAGGACAGTGCCCCTCGGAACGGGGATTGACACACACACACACACACTCAAGAAATAGCGTGCTGACACGATTGCGACTTGCCACACGCCAACCTAGGCAACCTAGGTAACCATCATCCTGAGAAAGTAATGTAAGGGGGTCTGAGTATCGTGGAGGGCTGGAGGTCCAACCAAGGAAAGAGAGAGGCCCAAATCTCAAAGTTCATAATCGATGAAAGCCAAACGACAGGTTGACGACGAACGTGCACATCTGGAGAACTCACTAGCACTAGCACTTTCCAGCGCCTGAAGAACCTAGACACAGCCTAAGTGAGGGAAGCCCATTGGAGTCGATGTGTTCAATGCAGGTACACGGAGGTGATCAATCTCCGCTCCCCCATCATGGAACAGCTTCGTTGGCACAGGTATCCACGATGGGCCTGTGCCCCCTGCGATAAAGAGTCTACCAAAGTAGATGTTAAGACCAAAGCACGGCAGAAAGTGAGAACAAATTCAACGGAACCCCTGTGACTCCAAGGGTGTCACACACACACACACACTGCAAGTTGAACAAATGATTGCTCCAGCGAGCTTATGTGATTCTGGTTTGTTTGGAACGGGAGAGAAGTGAGTTGGAGCAGAGAGTGTTGTGTTTTTGCACCGCTTTCGGATAGTCACTTGGCTGTTCCAAAGGCATTCTCGACTTGTGAGAGTGCCTTTTTGCTATGTCCGGTTCTCACTTGCTCTCATTTTCGCAGACTACTTAAAATCAAATCGTTTTCAAAGCAAATCAAGTTGGATCTCTCAAATTGTTTTTTGGACGCTTCTTGATCTGTGCTGTGCCCTTCTTTGGATTCACTTCTCAATTTTGCGCGTTCAGCACAAAGCAAACGCGCCCTTTTTACGCGCAAAATGCACACATTTTGAGCCAAAATCCATCGGCAATGTCACATGTTCCAGGCTTTGGTTGCAAAGGTCATCAACTATCCATGCTTTTGTTGAAATCATCAGCAAACATCAAGCTTGAAGATTGCACTTGGCACACAAACTGTGAGTCGGAAACAGTTTACGCGCATGTTGAAACACTCTTCTTCATGCTGCTCAATCTTTGGTTCTTTCGTCCACACATATATCATATATATACTATATTTATATAAATATGCATATGTCTATACCATGAGAAAACAGGTTGCACGTTCGTGTTGAGGCCGGTCCCAGAGGTCCAGGTGCTGTGCCCAGGAGAACCCCCTTGCGGATCGAGGCCAAATTGGTTGCGCCTGACACTGCTGACATGCATGCTTGTATCCAGAGCGTTGAAAACAAGAAGAAAGAGATGACAAAAAGGAAGGTACGGCTTCATCTCAGGTTTGACTCAGGTCAGCAGCTATTGGAGAGGAGATACACATAGATGAACATGTTTGGTTTTAAGATGGTTTCCGTTTTGGTCCAACACAGGCCACTAATTAAAGCATCTCTTTGGGGTTTAGCAGGATTAGGAGACGAACAGGCCCCAGCGACCAGCGGTGTCGCAAAGCCTCTCCTTGCCATCCTTGCAGGCTGGCGGACCGTTCTCTGGACGTTGATGAAACATGATGAAACCAACTGAAACCAATGGCTTGAGGCACGTTTCAAACCGTTGGCAATGTGTCATGGAACCTTCAGGTCCAGAAGTACAGGCATATTCGGATCTCTTCAAGTAAACAACTTGACGTTGACTTGGCCACATGTCTCGTCATGCATCACGTTGTATATAGGAGGATGGTGCTTTGTAGATAGCAGGCTTTGGAATTCAGGATGTGGATCATTTCAGGTGCACAAAAGCTTTCAATATGATTCAATATGTACTTTCTCTCGGTCAATCTTCTCATGCAAAAGGCTGGGCAAGCCAGCAGCGGAGGGGAACATGTTTGCAGCGGCATGCTCTGCCAGAGGCCTGCCATGAATCTGAAATCTTCAGGTGTTCGCAAGATAAATGGACCCTGGACTCCTGGACCCTGGCAACCTATCTAGTGGCGTACCTACCGCTATCATCAAGGTCAATTATATAGACGGGGAAGGCTCATTTGACTTGACTTTTGCTCTGGCTCAGGTGAGAACTGACCCTGTACGGCCAGACTTTTGGGTGCCTTGGCTTTTGCAGCTCTTGGTTGAACTTGGTAGTGGTGGCATTTCTACGAAATCAGGTCACCATTGCACTGACAGCCCTTCAGAGGCTTTGTTTCGTGCATTTGTGGAGGTAAGATCTCGTTGCATGTAGTCTATGTCGTCCTGCATTCCGCTCTTAGGAAAACCTACCCTCAGTGAAAGATACTCCACCCAAGTTGTGCTGGAAGTCTGGTGGTTTCGATCCACAGCGTGCGAATCCAGTGTTTGCAGACTTCGGAGCCAGCAGAAACTTGGGTTGCTCCCAGGATGGTGCGGGAATGGTCATCTTTGCCAAGACGGACAAGGGTGCTCCATCCCTAGGACGGATCGGCTCATTTTTGGACAAGCAGCCCTTCAGCTGCATTTGCGGTCTCAGGTTTCCAGCATTACCTACATGCTACATATGTTAGGAATGACATTTATAATATGTAGACTCATTTCCGCTTGTAGTTGGCCCTGAATCAGATTGACACCAACGCTCACACCATGATTTAGCTTGTCTACAGTTGCTTCTCTTGACTGTCCATCTGCAGTTCAGCTTAGGACCTTCAATGGTGCCCTAGCAAAGTTGGTGGCTGACACAGGCAATGATTCTTATATTCCCAGGGCAAGGGTATGGGCAAGGCGGTCATTTGATTTCTGGACTCGTGGCTCTGAGGTAATCCCCGGGTTGTTGCTACCGCAATTGGACTCTTGAAGGAGACATTGATGAAGTCGAAGCATCTCAGTTCAGTAGACATGAACAAACATGGAACCTAATTTATGTGGCTATATTTTATCCTAACTGAGTTTCAAGTTGTTGTGTTCATTTTCCTCTTTACGAGTGGGGCCAGGTACGGACACCCAAAGTACCCGCATTTTCCTTTCAAGTCTTTGTTATAATTTTTCAAGCATGCAGGCTTTGATGCGTCGCTTGGCTCGGTCAGGTGCCAAGGGGGGGTGCAGGCGAAGAGAAAAGATGGGCTCCTCAAAGATTCGCCAGTTGGGACGGTTGAGGTTAGAGTCTACAAAGCTTCCGAGACAGGCAGTGCACGGGAGTGCATGTCTTCAGTCAAGCTTTGACAAAACTCCCAGCGTGGAGAGTTGCCGATTTGCATTGCGTGAGGTATTCAGAATGTGATCTTGGTCGGCGTCGGGGCCATGGAGGACTGGACCAAGGCGGGGATTGACCAAGCTCACATTACTCGTACACGTGTGTGGTGCCCAACATGAGTTTCCAAGTCAGCTTGCAACTGCACCTCAACAAGCGGCGACGAGTGACAAATAGGTGGGTTTGGCTGCGGCCGGTGAGCTACAAGACTTGGAGGGGAAGGTGGCCTTGGTCCTGGTCCTCAGCGGAGAAGTGATGAGAAACGACTACAAAGACTCTGCAAAGACTCTGCAAAGACTCTGAAAGACCATCAGTCATCGGCTCTAGATGTCAAAGAGGCTCCAAGAATAATTACTGATATCTTGTCAACTGACAGACAGATTCTGGTAGATATAGACTCAAGACTGCTTTTCTGCTGTGTGCCAATGCAATGAGGTCTGCATCGATGGAGTTCAGGCGCCAACTTTCCTTTTCTGAATGATGTTCCTTATTCATTCCCCACAAAGCATTCATGGTCAAGGTGAGAATACAGTAGTTGTACCATGTTGTACCTAGACATATTTATAGATAGATACACCTTTTTGGGGCATGTTTTTTTCAATATCGAAGCAGTGCTTTCGCTGGGGCTTCCACTTCGGACAGGTGGAGCAGCTCGTCACAGGTCTTCTCAAGGGCTTAGACTTTTCAGCTGGCCCAAAGACCGTGGAGCAGCTTGGCGGCACATGGCTCGTGAATTTCTAATTAGTGCTAGCACAAAAATACGTGAACTGTGAGGTGCCACTCCTCCTTTTGCATCCTCGGTTCTCTTTGAAGAGCTGTAAACATATTAAGCATTCGAATCCATAGACACATTAAAAATACATTCAATCCTGCCGCTAAAAACAGCGCAACATTGAGGCTGCTTGGTGCATTTCCAGTTGGCAGCGGAGCTGCCATTGAGAAGGCTTTTCAAGCCTTTTGAGAGGCTGATGCTCGATATGAACAGTCGTTCTGTTGGTGTGCCCGCACGCATTTTTCATTTCATGTACTTAGCGAACACAGTGATTTTCGGGCCCCTTTGAGCTATTGGTTTTGGTGCCAGCATGCAAGTGTTTTTTTTTGAAAGCTTGTGCAGGCAAGCATGCAAGGTTTCGACGGAACCTTCCGCACAAAGGTCAGCTTGTCGTTTTCGTAGGTCTGACATAGATTTGCCCAACAACTTTTCCTCCATGGTATCTAGGGCTCTATTATTGTTTTCATTTGTTTTCTATACATTTCTATGCACTGAAATTAGTCACTTTACGTGTTCGTTTTTGATGGGGTGTGATTCCACTGTGTAGAACATCTAGAGTTTTGAGACACTTATTGGGGCACACTGATTGTCGTCAAATCTCCCTGCGCAGGCCTTGTGGAAGAGTGGACCGTTTGCCCACGGAAAAATTCCAGCTGGCAGTGCGTCAATGCTGGGCCGTAGTAAAAAGTACTTTAGTTCGTTGGAATAAAGGACATATATTTTCTTAGCCCACGGAATATTGACCATGGGGTTGATGGTGGGACTTCAACCAAGCGCTGGAGCAAAGACAAAGATCTTAAGACGGCCGAGAATGCCCACCGAGTGCTGAGCGTCATTGAAGCACATGGCCCAGGTTCGATGCGGTGACCAAGATCCTTTGTCCCATTTGCTTCCTCTGCTGACGTGCGCAGCAGAGATACGTCTTGTAGACAGACCACTTTGTGTTTGACCTAGATCAGGGCGAGGGCTCGCATAAACGTGTGTGCACAATTTGTGCGTTGTTCAAATCTGACCCTTGCAGGTACTTCAATCAGTCCACGATCCACCGACACATCTTCTTGGGGACTGACTCCGTAGGCGTGATAGCAAGCTGGCCGGCAAAGCAGTATTTTTCAGCATTTTGCAACCACATTACCATTGGGACAAGCGTGTGGAGTTCTTTTGTGTGAGTGTTTTCTGAAAGCCTTTTGTTGGTCCTCCTGCGGACATTAGGGACTTGATGTGACTTATTTTGAGACAACATTTAGGCAAGCTTAGCCAGCCGCAAGCAGCTTGTCTTGTCAATCGCATTAGTGGTCATAATGGAGATCGATGGTGCTTCTCTGGGTGACCTCTTTGGAGATCTCTCAACTTCTGAATACTTCTTGTGCAGGCAACCTGCCTGTGAACTTCCAGATGCAGCCCCTGCTCCTCCACTATGGACCAACTCCTTGTGGTCCGGGGCAGGATCCTCAGTAAACATATCTGAAAAACGTTCAACATATTCTTCGCAGTTGTTGATGTTCATTGATCCACTAATAAATCGGCCACGCCTTTTGGATATTTAATCTGGGGCCCACCCACCATCTGAACGGTGTTACACGAAAAAGAGGAAGACAATGAGATGCTTTGCCATGGAACAAGAAGCTACTAGGAGCAAAGGGCATCGCTACTAAGACGCTCCTGGCGGTACTACTAGGAACAAGAAGCTACTAGTAACAAAGGGCATCGCTACTA